GCAAAGCAGAACTGTATTGGGTTATTTGGATTATTCAGTTTGGATTGGGACCATAGCACTCCAGGAGAGGGGAATGTGTGTTTTGCCTTCTCCCATTTTTCCCTGAAATTCCTGCCACGGGGTGCAGATGAAAAACAAAATCTCCATTGGAATCAGGTCAGCTATGAGTGATATGAAAGAGGTTTCATTCAAATATATAGAATAGATATAACATTCTATATACCTATGTTATTCTATATAACATAGTATTTCTATGTTATATAACCTATATATAACATAGAAATACTTTAGATGTAAGTGTCAGATTTACACTAAATTATAGGATAACCATTTCAATACATGCACTTAATCATTAATTAAAATTGACAACAAATGTGTTCTGGCATGCTAAGGATAAATGTTAGAGGGGAGGGAGGATATGAGACTGAAATATGCTTCAGATTTGGACTTAATTGAATGAGTTATTTTTCTATTGCATTTGGATGGCTGCACATGACAGTTTTGCCATGTAGTGCTCTTGCAAAAACAATCCTTTTAATTCTCTACGACTTCGGCTGCAATCCTATGCCCCCATACCTGGAAGTAAGCCCCACTGAACTTGATTTGTCTTATTTTGAGTAAGATTGTGCTACTAGTGCTAGTTTATGTGCTGGTTTAGAGGGTTGTATCCAGTGGCATTCCACTAGGCAAAGGTTATACCACTTGCAAGAATTCAGTTTGAGGGTCAAATCAGATACTTTGATTCTGCATACACAAGCTCTTGCAGAAGCCACATAACAATGAATAATTATAATGAACAAAATTAAAATAATTAATTTTAGGTGTTTGCTTGAACTTGTTTTTCTGCCAATACCTGTGCCACTGCCAGGAGAACATGCAAGCTTAGATTTTCCCAACTGGACCTTCCACATGTGCTGGACTAAGCAGGTGACTAAACAGCAGGGTGGTGTTAAGGCCACTGTCAGATCACACACACACACACACACACACACACACAGCGCTTGCCTAGAAACACTGGAGAGCAAAAAAAGGGGAGACCTTTATACAGAACCATTACCATTTCCTCTGATCAGTGTTTAATTCATGTGTTAATGTGTCCCAATGTTCTAGTTATCATTTATACACCAGCAACTCAAATGGTTTTCTGCAATAAATATGAAATTGTCCTGCTCTGCAGAGCCCATGACAATTTTATGTTTGCACTCCCTTTATCTTGGGATTAATTTTATTGGACTTCTACCATAAAGTACTCACTACATTTTCAAAATAACCTGTCAGTTATACACTGCATCTATAGTAAAAATATTGCAAGAAGTACTGTCGAGAAGGCCCATGAGCGGTTTCCCCAAACTTTAAAAACACGGAGTCTATATGGATTGCGAAAACTCGCATGCTCTATTTCGGTGATTAAATTTTAATAGTGAAGCGGCAAAAGGATCAGACAATTATTATCTTCACTGCTGGCCTCATGCTTGGATGCTTCTTGGAGTCTGATCTGGCTGGGCAACTTATGCCTTTGCAAATATAACACAAGTGCGATTGTTAACATATCACGCTGGTACAACAGTGCCAGGAGTTCCATCCTCTGAAATTTGAAGTGGGGGGCAGGTTGAATCAAATCAGAAGGATGTGACATCTGGCTGAGCATCAACCACAGATCTGAGCAGATATTGTATGCTTTATACTTCCATGTATACATTTGGTGGCATTCGAGTGCAATTGCTTTGTGTCATGTTGAATTTACTTGCCACCTTTATTTAGGTGGCACTGAATATTACATGGTAAATATAATAATGCTACTTTATCTGAGTGGATAAATCTCTGTACCATTTTTAAAGGAATTTAGGGCACAAGCCCACACACATTTAGGCAGAAAACTGTCCTATTTCTCTCAGCGTTAAAATAGCCAGCTACTATTTTAAAAGGTTTGATGCATAGGAATGACAAATTATTCTTTGTACTGGATCTGTCAGCTGAGTCCCTCTAAGACAAAAAGACAAAGAAGAAATGGGATGAATGTCCCATGCCTCCAGAGCACACACGCTTGCGCTGATATTATTAAATGCTATAGGGATAATTATCATTGTTTTTGAAGACCAGGTTCTATACAAAACAGGTGCAAATGCCCAGCTCCAGCCAAATAAGCTCATATTCTAATTTAGACAGTCAGAAACAACTTTTTTTAAAGAATTGAAAGCTAAAACTTAAATGGCAGGGAAGTCAATATATATGGATCTGAAATAGACACATTTTTAGAATGAAAAATGAAAGGGAGATAATTACATTAGGTGTAGTGAGCCTCTTTTTGCCCTGGAGCCAAATTCTGCTTCAGATAAGCTCTCAGCACCTGCATTCAAGTGGTAGATGGGCCCAAAGACAAGAGGGGCTGGGTCAGAATACCAAAAATACCCGCATGTTTTAGCTCAAAGCTCTTACTACTATCAAAGCCTTTGGAGAGGCATTTCAGAATTTTGAAAATTGGTGGGGGTGGTACAGAAAAGTCAGGAAATGGTTAGGGGGAAGGAGGGAAGGGATCAGGAGGAAAGGAGCACGGTTGTACAGCAAACCCCACAGACCTGGATTGAGATCCCCAGTGAGGTTCTCCCTTCCTGCTTTGAAGCAACATTTGCTGGTAACAGATTCCATAAATAAGAGAAAAAGGAGGGAGATCTGAGGTCGAAGGAGGGACACAATGGCTCACAACAGACCTTGGATGGCAAATGGCTCAGTAGTGAGAGGAAACAGAAGGAAAGAAAACAGCCAGCTGGGACAGGAAGAGAAAAGAGAAATGCCTGGGAAGGGTACGACGAAGAGCCAGCGGTGTGCTGACTCAGGGCAGCCCTGTGAAGTTGGCTTGCTGGATGTGGCAGGATTTCCGATATCCTGCAGATCTGGGGTGTTGCAAGGAGCAGACGGCAAGCATGTGCTAAGGGCCAGTCCCAGTGTGCCTGAGCCAGAGTTAAGGTCTGACGGGGCATTCGTTTTCTGTATGTAACTAGGCAGAGCTTAGATAGGGAAGGAACTTGAAGGAGCAGCTGTCTGCGTCTCAACAAATACAAGTTTTGTCTGTTTCCTTGGGACAGACCACATGCCATGGAAGCCTTTCAGGTGAAATTGCCCCCACCAGCCATACAGTAATGGGAGTAAGGGGGTGAAAGAGGAGAGTGATCATGAAATAATGCAAGTCATAAAAAGAAGAACCAGAAGACTGCAAAGATTGAGGAGGGCAGTGTAGAAAATCAGAGATGCAGGAGGCTAGCCTGCATGGTGGAGTCTGCAGTTCTCAGAGTGATGTGCCATTTTGATGGGGCTTGCATCAGCCGGAGAGAAAATACAACTAAACGAAGCTCAAGGGCATCCAGGACGAAAGGAATAAAAAGTACCAAAATAGGCAATTAGAATGATGAAGTGGCTGGAGCAACTCCCCTGGGAGGATTTACAACAACTGGAATTGTCCAGGTTAGAAAAAAGTGAGCAAGAGGAGACATCTTAGAGGTGTATAATGCATGGTGTAAAGAAAGTGGAAAGGAAGATATTTTTCTTCTCCCATCATACTAGAAACCTGGGTCAAACATGGGTTGGGAGAGTGTACACAGATAAAAAGAGGTCCTTCTTTACACAGCACATAGTTAAACTATGGAATTCACTTGGCTACCTCTCTAGATGGCTTTGACAGGAGATGGGACAGATTCTTGGAGGACAAGTCAGTCCAGGGTTCCATGTCCTGATGGCTGTTCACTGTCTGCAGGATCAAAGGCATGTGCCTCTGTGCCACAACTGCTGGGGAACTGCCGCACTCACATCTTCCTTGCTGGTTTCTTGGGGACTAGATGGATCGTTGGTCAGATCCTGCATGGCGCTTACATTCTCATGTTGAGAACAGTGTTAATTCTGACTTCTGCTACACACTGCAATATAGCTCATGAATCACATCTGCTAAATTTGAGTAGATCACATTGAAAAGCACTTACCACCGTGGGTATGTAACAACTTGGTAAACCATAGCACCATGCCAAGTGGTGAGCAGACCTCCTTCCTCCCCAGCGTTCTAATTGTGGTACGGTTTTTCTCACCAGGGGCGGAATTGTATGAGCTCACCAAGTGGTTACATGTGTAGCCTGATAACTTACAATTTGGTAAATGTCATGTGTGTTCGTTTTAAGACTCTGGAGTTCAGCAGTGTTTTTCCTTTTCTTTTTTTAGAGAGAACAGAAGGATTTTCATTGTTTTCTTCTCTTTCGGTCAAGATGTGATACAAAATGCAAAATCTCTGTTTACACTGCTGAGCATATGCTTAAAGAGCATCAGCTGGGAAACTCCTGTCTTTATATGTTCACTGGTTGTGGGAGAGGTCATACAAATCATTTACTCTTCCCCTAAGTTCAGCTGCTTTTACCAGGATGTGAAAGAAAAAAATAGAGGAAAATGTTTCAAGGATTTTCTAACTCCCCTCTTCATCCTCTGCTAAGTCTTCACATCCCAACTTGCCCTGCATCCTGAATTCGTTTTCCGCAACTGTTGTTTGGCAACCATCTTCTCTAAAATTAGTCTTCATTCCTTGTCCACATCCCACACAACATGCAAATCCCTCCGAACGCAATTGTGCTGTATCCTCTTTGTATTTTTAGTACGGCATTATCCTCAGATTACAGTGTTCTAATCAAAATGTGTGGCATTTCCCTATTTGAACCCACCACCTGCTAGACACTTTGCAGTTTATAGTCACTGTTTCTCCGTAACATGAATAATAAGAAAAGTATCTAATAAAATAATTACTTTCCTTGCTTAATCATCCTGCTCTTTCTTCTAGAAAAGTGTTGCAAAACTGGATTTTGAATCTCACATTGCTTCCTCCTAGACTAGAAGAAGGACTTTTACATGCTGAAGCATGGAATGAAGATCAGTTCTAGCCCATGTATTAACTCTTGCCATCGGCTTTTGACAGAAATGCTGCATGAGTCTTCAAAGCCCTGAAAGTGCTCTATGCTTCCTTGTTGCAGAATGTCTATTATACCGGTAACCAGCAGATGCACGTGGGAATTCTCAGTCCTACGATTGACGATGATGACAACAGGTGTCTGGTGGATGTGAATAGCAGACCCAGGCTAATTGAATGCAGTTATGCCAAAGCCAAAAGGATGAAGCTTTACTGGCAATTTACTCAGGTAATTCTTTCTTTCCCAAAGATGAGATGAAAAGATTCAGGAAAATTCTGTTTGCAACTGCCCCACAGCCCAGCAGAAATAGGGGTTAACTTAGCAAAACTAAAGAGTGCCTTTGTTCTGTTGCAAAGCATCAGAAAGACGTGGCCTGATTCTTACCAACAGAAGAGCCCTGCCTGCCCTCACACCCCTGCTGCCTGGCCTCCCTGGCCCCTGTGTTTCAAAGCAGCATTCCCAACCTGAGCCCCATCCTCAGTTTGGTTCCCGTCATCTCCATCCAGCATGGACAATTGCCATGAATGCCCGGAGGTGTCCTCCAAAACATGTGGAGAACATCAGGTGGGGGAAGGCTGTATCACAGTGAAAAGGTCTACAGCAGGTTAACCTGCTATATGCATAGAGACTTCCGGTGTGTTTGAGAACCTTTGCTAACAGGTTCAGATTGCAAAGCTGATGGCAATGCAGCAGGCTTCCCTCCAGAGATCTCGTCCCTCTACCATGTGAAAGGTGGCAACAGGGGCACAACGGAGGAGGTGGGGCAGGGAGGATGTGACCGGAAGCAGGTATGGGAGGATGCCCAAGCAGGGCTTGGAGGAGGTGGTAAACCTGCATCTCTGAACTGAACCACTGCAGACTGAAGATGAGAGCTACTGAGATGGATTTTCTCCACCTGATGTCTAAGGGGATGTGAAGCATTCGAAAAATCAAACTCAGATGGTGATTTCTGTAAAAAGGAATATCTGAAAGCCTTCCATCCTCCTAACATACACAGACAAAGCCCTGAAGAAGAGAAGACAAAACTCCTTCCTTGTCTCCTGATGATAAATTAAGAGGCAAGGGAATAATTAAAGGTGCACTGTTCAGAAAGGATTGTTTTGCTAATACTCAGTGTGATTAAACTGTTGTTGTTTCAGAACACATAATGTGATGCAAAGCAGGTTTGCATGCTGTAAGCTGCAAGAAAACAAATGCGAGTGATCAAGGGTTCAGGGAGAAAGTGCTGTGCTGCGGTTGTTTCCAGTTAATCTAGTAAAAGGAGTACATTTGTTTGTGGGGGGTGGGGGGTAACTTTATCAAACACTTTCTTTTCCTTATCTTTTGACTGGCAGTTTCTTGCTCAACCATACGTGTGCATGCACCCATCAGTCCAATACTCACATTCTGAAACTACACCAATGACAAAAGTAAGATTACTGTGGAATAAATGGTTTAATGGCTGATATAACAAAGATATTTTAACAGTAGTACTGCTTTTACAGCAGTATTTTTGCTTTAAAGCAACTATTAATTTTGCAGTTTGGTTTAAGGCTAAAAAAATCCCTAGCTGGATATGCATATTCGCACACACAGACGCACACACACACATACAAACTTTAGAGCAGAGGTAGGCAACCTTGTAGGTTTGTTGGGACATTTGGACATTTGAGAAACTGTCTTCAGCGCAATCACAAAATGGCTTCCATGGGTAGGTGTGGCAGGACACAAGAGACAAGCAGGCAGCTCAGAGGAATTCATGGGAAATCAAGATGGCTGCACCTGGAGGTTCCCACTGCAGAGTGAAGCAACCCCAGCAGTCTGTAGATAGATAGATAGATAGATAGATAGATAGATAGATAGATAGATAGATAGATAGAATAATGTTTTAAAATAAAGATAGGGCAAACAGAGTGTCTTGGCTGGCATCAGAGAAGCTACAGCCTGCACCATTTGGCAGTCCTTGATTTTGACAATGCTGGACATTATCTTGTTCATAGCCAGTTATCATCTTTATTTTAGATAACGTTTCTCTCAAATTACTATACGGAAAACATTTAAGTGGAGCTAAGCTTATGCTAACGACAACAGCAACACTTCTACCGACTTTTATTGGGCTTCTCCAGCAGTGCTGGATTCCGAATTATCCTTCTGGTTCAATTCAGCCTCTCCTGCCAGCATGTTGACAGCTCGCGTAAATGCCTAATTGCTTGGGAAGCTTTTGGCTATCCTTGGGATAAGAAGGATCTCAAGTTACCAGGCTGGAGAGGCTTCTGAAACAAACCCTAATGCAGTATTTGGAGAGGAGGCAGGACAAGGTTCTCTGCTATATAAGCCAGTTCTAAACCAGTGTTGACTCCTTCCTGGTGATCTCAGCTGATCAGGGATCACATGAGGTGTAATCCTGTTTCCCTTTGCTGGCAAAAACAAATGTTTTTCCTCTCTTCATGCGGACAAGCAGCAGAAGCAGGAAATGTCCCCTGGAAAACTCCTAAGGGACAGCCAGCACAGGAAGAGCCATGCTGGCTGAGTGGGTGATGCAGGAGCCTTTTGAAGGTGGAACACCCACTGTAATCTTGGAAAGCAGGGACCACCCTTTTCTGTGGCCAGAAAGGGAGCATCTGCAGGGTTGCATTCATAGTGAGCAACATACGTCATCTATAATGTGGTAATACATTCTCTTCGCTGAGAGCAGGTGAATTAGATCTTGGGAAACATCGCTTTCAACCTCTCAGTGGGTGAACATTTTCGCCCTCTCTCAACACAATGCCCAATAATATAACCCAGACGGAGATTTTTCAATACTCCCAACAATGTTGGCAAAAGCACTAGAAGCAAATTTGTATTTTCATGGCAGGGAGTGAGAGAGGAATTATTCACGTATATTGGACATTTCTGCAGCAGATCTATTTCTCCATGAAAAAAATGCCACTTAAATGTTTATAATTTGTTCTCCCTTTAGATATATAAACCACTGAATAAATAGGAAAAATGCCATTGTCACTAAAATCTCAGCTGAGCTCATGGCAAACTTAATAGTGTTCTTCTATGAAATACTTTGCATATTTAATGGACCTTTTAGAGCTAATGCCTAAAGGCACATGTCGGCCGCTCGAAGGTTATGAAGTCCACAGAAAAGCACTGGTGTCTCAACTTAAAATTTCAGTCACAGCATTTATTCCCATTCATATCCCTGAATTGCTAGCTCTGCTTGGTAGTTATTAAAGGACCGTATGAGTATACTTACTTCATGTTGGGCTACACCACAATGAGAGGGCTAAATGTTAACTAAACTCAGCAGAAGCACAAAAGTGAAATTAATAGAGTTGTAACATGGTGCAGCCATAAAGGAACCAGGAAAATACTAGAGCCATCCTAAATAATTTAATGCATTTCACAGTCTCTCTCTGAGGTTCATAATTGTTCCCCAGGAATGGCCTGTCAGGCTGAAATACTGTGGCTCTTTCCCAAGTTTAACCATACAATAAAGTCAGAGGAATGTGAAAAAGAAAGTGAAGGGATGAAGTTCATGTTCAGTATTTGCAAACAGTTTTTACAATAGTTTTAGGGTTGAATTCTGCTGCTGATTCTTGCCTTCCTTGCTCAGGATTTGGATTTTTTGCAATTAGAGATGGGGCCTTAGAAAGAGGAGAAAATGAAGATTAAAGACAATTAAGGTGTATGTATCCATTAGCTATTGTCTGAGTTTTGCAGCCCATCAACCCAAGCGGGAAGATGCGTTGCACTCATGCTTTGTTTGTGGGCTTCTCACAAGCAACCTGTTGGCCAGTGTGTGAACAGAAGGCTGCACTGCATTGGTACTTGGCCTCTTCTTGTTTTAACCATCATTCTTCTCACATGGCTGAGCACGTGGAAATGGACCAGGATTGTGCCTGCTGTCCCCAGGCCTGTCCACATTTTCATTGGTCTGCTCTAGAACAAAGCAGGATCCCTGATCTTGTGGAAAGACCCTAAATCCTTAAAATGTGCTGTGCCCATAAGCAAAGGAATGCAATGGAAGTTGGCTGTTCCCATATTTTCAGCTCCTGCTCAGCTTGAATAGTTTCCGACTATGTTGAAGGGACTTAAATGGAATGTTCCTTCCAGTTCAATACAGATTCAGACCTTGGGTGGACTGAGATGATCACATTGGTTTAAAAAAAATAGAAACCCGGAAGTTCCTCAACCCAGGTTTCGCTTTCCTCAAAGCAACAGTACTTTGCTCATCACCTCTTGTGTGCATATTTCAATTATCCTAATCTAAGTTAAGACCTTTAGAGAGGTTCTGCTCAAACTACCTTCTGCTCATTGCTACACAACTCGGAAAGGAGCCCTCTCAGTTATGGCTCCCTGTTTATGGAACACCCTTCCCATACAGATGTGGTGGGCAGCACTTCTGTTTGCTTGTGCGTTTCAGTTGATCAGTCTGTCTTACTGCACTTTTACTTCTTTCAGTACAGTTTGATGATTGCATGTCTTGCTTTTAATTGCATTTGGTGATTGCATGACTGCTTTTTGTGTTTGATGGTTCAGTGCCCTGGTATCTTGTGGTGAAATGTACTTTATAAACATTGAGAGAAAGAGATTGTTTTTATGGGAAGACAGCTTAAAGCTGCAATAATAGAATTAAGGTAGCTTATAAACCTTGGCAGAGATGATGCAGAAATGTGAACAACCCATAGGAAACCGGCAGCATCAACCACATGAATGGCCTGGTACCTGCTGAAGGATGCCAGCCTGTCCTTCTGCCGTCAGGGCAAGACCCTTTTGTTCACACCATCCTTTGCCACGTAAGTTGGTCTACTGCTGATGTGGGTTTCATTAGGTTAAACACTGTTCATTTTTTGTTGAACCTGTGTTTTAATTGCCATTTTGAATTCATTTCTTTTTCTGCTATATTTTAACTAAACGTTGTGTCAGTCTTGATTTTTATTTTTGGTAACTTCCTTGAGCATGCTTCTGGTGGAGAGGCGGGATGTCAGATAATTCCCTCCATTGCTTACGGTGCTTCTAAAGACTAAAGCGATCAGACTATTGATTTGCTTTCTCTGATAGAGAAGACTTTGATGCCATACTTTAATTGGCTTTTCTTTCTGGCAAGCCTCTTTCTCTGTTTTCTCCCCTCCCTCCTTCTCAGAGATATACCACGGATCCTGGTGGATTCGTTTGTGGCAGTTCAACGTGTGTTCCCACACCGAGTTCTCTGGGCTTCAGAGGAAGGGGCTGTGTTGGGAGCAGTGGCATAGCGG